CCCTGAAAATTGGTCCGCAAAGGTGGCTTCAGACGCCTTGTGCAAGATCATCGAGGGTAAAGGCAAGCCCCTGGATAGTGAAAGGGGTTTGTCAGTTCAATCACCAAAGGATGAAAAGCCCCCAATGCTGATGGTGCAATATAGAGGTAACCAGAGCCAATATTTTGCTAACAGGTTACGAAAATTAACGAACGTTCAAGTGGTTTTCACCACAAGAAAACTACAATCATGTTTACCATCACTGAAGTCAGCATTTTCTAATGACCTCAAGTCAAGAGTGGTTTATAAACTGTCATGTAGTGGATGCACTTCCACCTATGTCGGACAAACTGTTCGAAATTTGACCACTAGAATTGAGGAACATAGGAAAGCAGACTCACCGGTAGGCCTCCACCTTCAGCAATGCCAACTTGATGGAAATAGCGCATATCTTAGTCAAAAGTATCATAGTAACCGAGGTTACAGTCATGAGTCCCTTCATCATGTATTCCAGTCAAAATCCTTGGAATTTTCTAGATATGGAAGTGATAATGATAAAAGAAGATGTCAAGTGTTTAAGTCCTTTTCATTTAAAATCGATACGGGTTACGCTTCTTCAATAAGAACACGCAACTCGACACGAGATAATATAATATACAAGTGTTACAAGTAAAAAATTTCGTCGAAAGTTATTTTGTCATTTATTGTTCCGAGTACGCAAGCGGCGTTCGCAATCTGTATTGCCAGGGAGATTCTCTGTTTTAAAAAGCTGCCTGCTCTGGGTTCCTCAGTGCATATGCTTAGGTTCTTACAAAGCTTGCTCAAAAAAACTTCTGTGCTGGGGCCGGCCGCGCCCTGAATTTCAAAAGCTAGCGGTTGAAAAAGTTATCCATCATTTACAAGATCTTTATATTTGTCAATTTTTCGCTCTTCCGCTTCAGCGGCAGCCGTACCAGGGTTACAAACAGACCCGGCATTAATCCTACAAGGGGCTAAGGAGTCTACTACCGTTACATCCCACAAGAGCTGCTTACCATCAGCCCATGGAACGAGCGTCAAACCGTCTGGTCGCTTCTGATCGGTCCTGTAGAGGTGTCGTGGTTCTAAAACAGACGGAATGTGAGTAGATGATAGACTCTGCTTTATCAGGGCATTCAGGTTTGAATGCCTAGAGAATCTCCCTGCACTTTTGAGGCAAGAAAGACCATGCCAACCATCCTCGGTAACGTCTTTTCCGCACACGCATTTATGCCGTTCGCATATTTTTGATCCTAATCGAAGTCCTATCGCAATTCTGAGTTGTTGGTTCGACAGTTTTAACCTTAAATTTTTGCAGGGGATGACGTTCAACCATTGGGATCCAAATCTATCTTGGAACGCGTTGAACCTTTTCACGTCCGTTGGTTCGAGTCGTAAAATCAAGTCTGCAATTTCGCTGTCAAAAATTGGCTCCGTCCAATTTTTTTGGATTTCATTTTCCGGAGCCATTTCAATTTTTCCAAGGTCAAACCACCGTTTAAGCGCATCATCATAGGTTCCATCCACATGCTCCAAACCAAAGATTTCGCTCAAGGCATCTTTCGCTCCTACTGCTGAGGCTAAGAAAGCGGGTAAAGCGAGTAGACGAGCGGAAGAAACGCCCGAGCCACCTTTGGCTGCCGGGAGAACTGCTTGTAAAAACTGGTTTTCATCCATTTTCACGTTAGTGACCTTGAATAACGAATTTCTTAGTAATTTATCGTAGCGTTCCAAAAAATCATTTTGCAAAAAACAAGGGCTCGTACGCAAAAAATATAGGAGTTTTGGCATGCTAAAGCAATTTTTCAGGAGGTAAAAACCATAATGGGCGTCTAGTTTGTCAATGACATCCGAGATTTTTTCAAGCTCCCTAATTTTTTCGTCGAGTAATTCTTTTCGGCAAAGTTCGCCGATTGGAGATCCTAAAATGAGGAGTTCTTCTTTTGTTTTTATTTTTATTTTGGGGCATATTTTTCGAAATTGTGTTAAAATTGAATTATACTGTGTACTAGTAGTCGGTCCCAAAAAACTAAGTTCACACTTCTCAGTGTTTAAGCTCAGGCCGTAAATTTGTTCCGATTTCAGAATGTTTTTAAGGTCCCGGAGTACTACCTTATAGTCGTCGGCTAAATTCCCATCATCTAAATACCAGATGTTAATTTTCGACTCCAACTGTTTGACTAGTGTATGAATTGTTTCCGCAAAAAGGGGTGGGGCTTCAGGATCACCTTGCTGAGTTCCGTCTTCTGACATTATGACAGAGCTTCCGTAAAAAAGGTAACTAGGTTTAGCATACGCGCAATGGGTGTAGTTATATAATTCGGGGCGATTTGAAAAAACATGATTCAGCATTGTTTCTCTGTTTAAAGAGTTAAAGGCATTCTTGAAATCTAGTTTTAAAATAACAGTACATTTTGGATTGTCGTCGCGTTCAATTAGGTTTCGAAACGAGTGCGCAGCTATTTCTGCTCCTCGTTTGGTACCGCATCCTACCTGTACGTTTCCGAAAAAATTTTGTCGCTCGGAGAGGGCCTTGCTTCCAGCGCATTTAGACGCGATACGTCTCAGCGTGTTGCCTATGGCAATCGGTCTCAACCCTCCGTCTATTTTTATGAGGGCGATAAGCTTTGCGCCAAAAAAGAAAGGTCTTAGTGGTTCCGGTATTTTGCCATCTCCAATGAGGTTTATCAGCTTAGTAAGCGATTTCAGAAAATTAAGTCCTGCACTGCCATTCGACTTACTAACAAGATCTTTAAAAGTTTGAGGAAATATTTTATCAGGACCTGCTGCTGATCCGTTTGGAAAGGACATTATCGCTTTGTATAGGTCGAAATCGGTTACGAAAAAACTATCCAACTTTTCTGGATTTGGAGCTGCAAATTTGGCTCGCTGCGGGTGCTTAGATAACAATTTTTGATAGTTATCAGTTGAAAAAGGAACTATTTTGTCATCCGAAGCAGCAAGCCTTATTCCTCCCTTTACATTTCCTTCATCGAGCTTACTACTTATTAACTTTATTCTCTGCTCGAGGTCACTCAGAGGCGGGCTTGAAACTTGGGGATGGGGTTTTGGAAGTGACACGTCATTTGCTCGAATTTTTTTATTTATCAAAGAGCTCATGCTTGTGGTCTGTTTGCGTCCACTTCTTTTCGGTTGCTCCCAAAAAAAAAAAGAACGACGTTAAAAAAATTAGCCATTTTGTAACATCTTCTACATTGTAGACGATGTCATTTATTTTGTCCGACAGATTTTCCGCCAAGGGAACACGCGAGTCTTTTGGTACTCTCTTGAGTACTCGGACATTTGAGATGGTTGTATTAACATAATTGTCTAGCACTAAATCATTACCTATTGTTGCTTTATTAACAGATTTTACATCAACGCATAAAGGACACTGAAACCATTGGGTTTTCTTAGAGTCGCTAAGAGAAATATTTACACAACTGATATGATACCAACTAGAACAACAATCACATTTAATCCAATTTATCAGTCCTGAAGGTTTTAAGCAATCTTTGCTTGTACACTCTTTGTTGTTTTTCCTCATCTTGACGCAGCATAAAGGTAAAAAAAAGGATTTTGACTGGAATTTAGGGGACTGAACTAACCCATGATAAGCGGTTAGTGGGAATTTTAAAAATCAGCAAATAAAAAAAAAAAAAGACAACTAAATTAATTTAAAAGGTTAAAAGGCAGCATAAAGGTTAAAAATCAAAAACAAGGAACAATCTCACCCGAGCTCAGTAGGTTCAGCGGCGCACCACCAGACTTCTCAAGCCAGTTCCAGTTCCCCACCTCCCCACAGAAAGCCACTTGACAGACCTGTCTCTAAAATCCCTCAGAGGGCGCTCCACATACAGGCACAAACATCAAACATAACAAATCTATTCAATAAGTTTATCACAACAATTAGGCTAAAAGTTGTGATAAACTTGTGAGCTCATGCTTGTTGTGAGCTCAGTTGTGAGCTCATGCTTGTGGTCTGTTTGCGAAAAGAAGTGGACGCAAACAGACCACAAGCATGAGCTCTTTGATAAATAAAAAAATTTGGGAAATTATAGATAGGTCAAACAACCAAACAAAATTGCTAACACTAGAGGCAATACATATCAGGAAAGAGAAACCGGGCTTGAACACGCGCGATGAATTTAGGAGCAGGGAGTTAACACTGAAAATTTAGTCCCAAAATATTTTTGGTTTTTTATTCAAAACGTACATGTCTAAATCGAAATTATGACTCAGAAACTTCCAGACAAATTAATTTTAAAATGTTTAATTAATTTTAGAGGTTAAAAGTATTTTAATCTTAATAGTAATTTAGAGGTCAACTGTGATTGGCTAATTTTTTATCATGATGGTTTAGAACCAAATTTTATGTGATTTATTGTAAATAACATTTGTAAATTGATGTTTTATCGTCATTTAGAGTAGTTTATTGTAAAAATCCTGACGATGCACATAGTTGCGAAAACGTTTGAAATTTACTTTTTAGCAAAAATTTCTTAAATTTATTCTGCCTAAAATATCGTTTTAAGTTTTGTCCAATAATATTTCATTGTTCTTGAGTGATTTTTATTTTTTCTTTCTCTATTCTGATTGGTTATTTCAACTTTTGTCTAAATACTGACCAGTATGAATACGCGGCTGTCTAAATACTGACATGTAACCACTTCGTGAGTATTGGTAGCTGAGATTCCGTCAGTTGTTGTTGACTCATGACTTGGTTTTACTCAATGGGGGGCAAAAAAGCCTTCACCCGGAGGTATACTAGAAAAAAATTAGATTTTTCTCTTTCAAAATGTAGAAATCAGAAGGCAAAAACGTCAACTATATTGCACGTGCGTTTTATTTCTTTTGACTTTTGACATCAACCTTTTGACTTTTTTCTCCAGTAAATTTCTCGTAGTTACTTCTCATATTTTCGATTGACATGGAGCGGCCATTTTAAAATTGACAATGTGTAATGGTATTCGAATATTTTGTAATTTTTTGTATTTGGTAATTGTGCAGCCACCGAACGTACATTTGCATTTTAAGTATCTGATCTATTTGACAATATTGAACAGATAGCAGAGATCAGGGAAGTTTGAAAGAAGTAAAGGTTAGTCGTTATAATTAAAAGTGCTATAGTTTACCCATACTACAACTGCTCTCCAAGTAATATTGCCGAAGTTGAATCTAGGACAACGTAATCAAAATTTTTTTTATAAGCAGAGCGTTTTCATCTTAAAAGTAAGTTTTCAAAGTTCAGGCAAGTTTAGTCCAAGTTATTCTTGACAATGCACCACTTAGAAATGGCGGTAAATGTGCGATAGAGTGGTTCTTTGAAACTGATGTTGATGAAAATATCGAATATATTTGTGCGAAGTAGGCAGGTAAATTACAATTGAGAGAAAAATGTAAAACGACCGAACGGAGCATAATGATTTAGTTAATTGATGAATTAGCTCATAATAAGTTTGATCTGTGACACATGTAACTTCTTTTTTTTATCGGGACCCCTCTATCACACTTGTACCGGAATAGCCTCTTAAAGTTACACCAGCCGTATTATGAAACACGTCAATTCGAAACCTGAAAGATGCCTTCAATAATTGTTAAATTTTTATCCTATCTGTACATCAATTGGAGTTTTGAACTTTATGAGAAAGACAAAAACAGTCAAAGTGATCATGAAATTGCGAAGTTCTTCAACGTCTCTTATTAAATCATAATTTATGATGAAAGAGAAAATAATCGGCTTGAAATCCTTCGTTTTCTATTCGGATTTGTAGTAGTAGTAGTAGAACAGGATTTAGGGATGTCATCCCATGGGTTTGCACCCAAAATGTAGTTTTAGTGTTAATGAGTTCTGAGTTTTCCATTTGGGTTACAGTTTCCACATGGACACATTATTCGCCATGTGCAGCTGTCCATTTCTGAGTATCTTTTGAAGAATTTCCAATAAATTTTCGCTATGTCAGATTTCTGTATGTCAGTTAACTGTTTTGAGGTATGTCGAATTATGATATTGAAAAGTGCTCAGGGCTTTTTGTCCGGCACCCGCCGAAGCTTTCGTAGTTTGAATTTGTTTTTCAAGGAGTTTGTCACCTGTATGTAATGTTTTAGCCCGGAATGGACTCCTTGTTTATCTCGGTTTTGAATTAGAGTTTTGTCGAGACAAAGAAGTTCTTCGTATTTGCTTGAAATGCATTGTTAAAAGGAAGGCAAACTCGACTATCGAACAGCAAAATTTGAAAGTTCACGAAAAACGTGATCGACTTCTAATTTCGAAAATGGAAATTAATTATCAGATTTCCCAGCGAAATAAAGGTTTTATAAATTGATCCATTTTTCTCACATTGGGTTAGGTTTAACAAAAATGTCCATCATAAATTGTTCTATAATTTCAAAGAGCCTTAACGCCATCTATTTTTTTTCGAAATTTATGAGTTGTAGGCTCTTGAAAAAACAAAAAAGGTTTTTCAGTTTTCTTGCGTTCATTAATCTTTTCCTACTGTCAGTTGGCTATCTTCTAAGTTTTTGATAACAATTCTTCAAAAAATCGACATAATGTCAAACTTAACTACTTTTCAAACCTTTTTATTAGAAAATTCTAATTTTATGCCATTTGAGAAATTTGGCATTCTTATGCCAGCTGGGAATTGTGCCATTTGAGACGTAATCTTCATCGAATGACCAATTTCTAGTCCGCGTAGGTACTAGTTTTCTGGAGTGCAGCCAGTATTTAGACAGCCGCGAATTCATACTCGTCAGTATTTAGACAAATACTGTATGAACCAATCAGAATCGAGAAAAGACATAAATAATCCAAAATAAATAATAATTATTTATTAATTTCTTCTTTGTCTCGATTCTGATTGGTTGAAACAGTATTTGTCTAAATGCTGACCAGTCTGAATACGCGGTTGTCTAAATACTGACATGTAACCTAGTTTTCTTGTTTGGTCCCATGACAAAACTACACTGATCGACAAAATTAAGCGAAAATTCAGATTTTTTCTTAATTTCTTGCTTTCAATGTCAATTTTTGCCATTTACCTCGATTTCCAGGAAATTTTTTACATAGGCCAAGTAAAAGTCATCCGAGCTACCATCTATGAATTTATCAATATCTATCACTATCAATACCTATCTTCAATGCCTCTTAGCTCTGTTTTGTTTTGCTTACACAGCTCAGATCCGTATAATGTTAATTGGTACAATATAGCCACAGTATGCATTTAGTTTGAAAATAATATTGATTTTGACAAATTTCGCTTGATTTGGAAAAGTGCTCCTACGGCTTTTGGCATTCGCTGTTCAGTTTGCAGACCAGGTGAGGTTTTTCGATACTATGATTCCTAGATCTTTCTTGGTATCAGGCTCTGAAAGCTCGTATTCACCTATATGAATTTTTTGCGATATACAATCTGAATTGAAGATCAAGTTAGATATTTTGATAGATTTTAACACATGTTATCACAGCACCATTTAAATGAGATGATTCAGGTCTGTTTGTAGATCTTAAGATATTATTGATAACAGCTTGTAGTCATCCCTATAGCCAAAGTGGATTTCTAGCCACTCGGTAGATCATTCATGCAGCAAAGTAAAAGCAACAGACCTTGTGGAACTCCGCTATTAACATCAAGGCATTTACTGAGCTGATCTCTGATTCGAAATCTCTGCTTGCGATTTTGCAGATAGCTTTTAAGTAACTCTATCAGGTTACCACCAATCCCAAAAGATGATAATTTATTGACCAGAAAACTGTTCGACCTTGTCAAAGGTTTTCTCAAAATCAGTGTATACCGCCAAGATAGGACTGACTTTCCTCATTTTCTTTAAGAGGCTATAGATTTCATCTAGATATTTGAACTGTTGTCGATCTTTTTGCTCAAAAACCAAACTGGCTTTCGTGTAGCTGTTTTAATATACAAGGTTGATGTTTTATCGGAAATGAGTCTTTCGAGTACTTTGGAGACTGAGAAGAGTAGACTTTTTGGCCGATAACTAATTACCGATTGCTTGTCATATTTCTGTAGCTTGGAGAAGTTTCTATCCTCAAAAGTATTTTGATCTTCGTCAATGAAGTTTTTTTAAAAGTTTTTCCATATTTTCGAGCTTTGTTAGCCCAGCTTTGGTGGGTTGTTTTTCTATGCGTATTCATCATCATCATCATCATTTCCTTCCGCCTCGTCCAAGTTTACAGGTCGGCGGGCGCCCCTGAATTGCCGAGCACCATGAGTCCCGTTTGAGGGTGTCTTCTTTCCTGAGCCGGCGTGTTTTCAAGCTCTCCACTTCACATATCCAAGTTTTGGTCTTCCTTTGGGTCTCTTTCCTTCCACTTCCAGGTCGAGTGCCAGACGAATCGGGTCTGCGGTGTCTCCGCATAACATGACCGAACCATCTCAATTGACTGGTCCCAAGCACACTGAGCACAGGGCAATCGATATTCGAACGCCCAAAAAATTGCTCGGTTGGCACAGTCCACTAGAGAGACTCCACACATCATTCGCACCATGCGTCGTTCAGTAGACGTGATGCGTATTCGTAAGGTATTTATTCGTTTTATCAGGTTTAAAGTTGGTGTTTATCCACAATGGTGAAGATCTTCTATGATTCGTTTTCTTTTTGAGGAATAAATGCAAGATCTTGTAGGCATGTGTACCATGGCTCGACTAAATGATCAGTATCACTGTAGCAATATGTTTTGGAAGGCTTTTTCCCAGTCTGCGTTGACAAAGGAAAAAACACCAAAGTCCTAGTTGCAATTGTTGGTTTCTGATACTATTGCAATGACCTTTAGCAAAGGACACCTTGACTAGGCCGGACTTCCATCTCAATGAGCTAAAAACTTTTTATTAAGTTGATCCAGTACGCGTTTAACTTAACCTTCCAGTGGCAGCTTGAAGTAAGGTTTCTTTTAATTTGAAAGAGTGCATTTATTGCCTTTTTGGATTGTATCTGACAATTTTCAGACTAGTTAAGGTTTTGATGTGCAACGAGTCCTAGCTCACGTTGATATTCAACTGGTCCCAAAGGATTCTCCATGAGATTGGCTTTTTGGTGCTCCTTTCAAGTTACAATTTGAGACTTCTTTGTATTTGGTGTCATCTTATTTCAAAGCTATTTTTCAATGTTTTCAATTGCTTTGTTCAGTTCACTTTGGCTTCGGATTATTGCTTTGAAATCATTTGCGTACCCGTAACGGCATTTCTTTCATCGTTTCAGGTAAATCATTGATGAAGAGGAGGAAGAGTAGTTGTCCAAGAATAGATCCTTGTTTCTCGATGGTTTGGTCCCTGCTCGGGGGGAGAAGCGCGGACCTGTGGATTTTCACAGATCCCAAAATTCAAACCTGGGGGGAGAGGAGCCCGACAGTGTGTTTAGCCTAGGCCACACTGTCGGGCGATACTTCACCCGTCAACAACTCACCCACGGAGTAGCCGACCATGGGGGGAAATTACAAGCAATCAACATCCCAGCAAATAGGAAGCGCCATGTGGAAGTAATGGCAAGAATGAAAATGTGTCACGATGTGGAGGTCAACCCAGGACCGGCGAAGTCGAAGTTGAGGTGCACAATATGCAACGAGGGATTCAAGAAGAAAGAGTGGTCAGTCAAATGCAATGGATGCAAGAAGTGGACCCACTGGAATTGCACCTCGCTCGGAGAAGACGGGAGGTGGAGCACGTCGTTCAGAGCACAATGCTGCACCCCCCAGGAGCCGCATGCCGATGACGGTCAAACGGAAACGGTGGAACAACCAACCGTGGAACCACGAGCCGAAAGCAACGAACACGTGGATCAGCTCCAGAGAAATGCCAAGAAGCGGGTCAAGAAGCGTGCACAAAAACAACGAAGAAGACAGGAGAAGCGAGACGAAAAGTGGACGGAAAACGCCAAACGTATGGGCAAGAAGAAACAAACGAGCATATGGACTTGGAACATCCAGAGAGCGAGAGTAGCCTTCCCCCGTCGGAGCAGATTCGCTGGGATGCTCCGAGAAGTGGCGAAGAGCCACGCGGAAGTCGTGCTATTCACAGAGCTTTGCGAAACGGTAGAGGGAATCAAGTGGATCAAAGCAGGCGATCTCTATGGAGTCCTCATCCATGGAAAGAAAAGCGGAGTGTTCCTCAGAGACCTGTGGGCGGTGGAGTGGAAGGAACAAGGATACAAGAGACAGTGTGGCGACAGAAACACGGCAGTGGATGTGAGCGGAGTGAGGTTCGTGGCCACATACCAACCTCTGTGGGAAGGACAAACGGACGATTTCGCCAGATACAGAGAGGAATTGGAAGATATGTTGATAACCCAGAACCTCTTGGTGATCGGCGGGGACTTCAACTCCAGCGTGGGGGACACCAGAGAACGGAGCAGAGACACAGTCGCAGGGAAGTTCGGGCTGGGCAAGACGAATACTGCAGGAGTGGACCTGATCGAGTGGTGCCACGCCAACCAGTTAGCGTGGGTGAACTCGTTCTTCCAACACAAGAACAGAGGAACGTGGAAAAACCCGGCGAACGGAAGCTGGCACGAGCTAGACGGCTTTCTGGTTAAGCAGAAGGAGAGAAGCCGAAGAGTCGTCAACGTCAGCACGTTGGGAGTGAACAAACTGAGCGACCACCGGGCGAAAAGGATGACCTGCAATCTGGAAGACAAGAAGAAGCGCCACCACGGTTCGACGAAGGTCCAGCGCAGACGGACGGTGGATTGGGACAAGCTGAAGATCCCAGAAGTGGCAGCGAAATTCCGAGAGAAAATCGAGAACCCGGAGGATTCAGTGGAAGACTGGAACGACGCAATGAAACTGTTCGAGAAAGCGGGAAATCTAGCCTGTGGTTCCAAAGCGAAACGGAACTTGAGCCCGTGGCTAGATAATCACCTGGAAGAGATCGGCAACTTTCAGAACCTTATCACTCGGCTTACCCAGGAAATGAACAACAACATCCCGACAGCGACAGAAGAACGGAAGACGGTCAGGAAAGACTACAAAAAAGCGAAGAAACGGTGGGAAGAAGAGTGGTGGATGGAGATTGTCGAAGACGCGAGGAAGGCAGAACTCCAAGGTGACATCGGGACGCTGTACAAGACGCTGAAGCGTATTGGAATCAGAGACAACTGCACCTTTGAAGACGAAACATTCAGCCCCGAAGAGTTCCGAAGTCACTTTATGAAAGTATCAGAGAACAGATACGAAAGGGGACGAGACGAGATCGTTAGGACCATGGAAGAGATCCCCGAACGCACCGACCAGACAGCACTAGAAGCGGCCATTGAACTGGAGAGAGTGGTCACGTGGAGCGAGTTTGAAACAGAGTTGGCCAAGATAAGGGATGGAGCACCAGGGAACGACGGAGTTCGGATGCTAGCAGTAAAGGTGGCCAGCAAACCAATTAAGCAGGAGCTCCACAGGATGATTGGGAAGTTGATAGACATGAAACCGGAGGACTGGCCAGAAGAAATAAAGGAAGGCTGGGTCATTCCCCTGCACAAGAAAGGTCCCAAGAACGACCTGGGCAACTACCGTGGAGTGTGCCTGTTACCACTGGCGAGCAGACTGATCGCACGTATCCTCGCGACGAGACTCCGGACATGGGCAGAAACCATTGGCGCTCTGGACGAGAACCAGAACGGTTTCCGTGGTGGAAGGTCTACGGCTGACTCAACGCAGATCATTATCCGGATGGAAGAAGAAACAAGAAGAGTGTACGGGATGACAGACGAGTGTAACGAGAACCGGCCAGGGGCTGTCCTCCTAGACATCACCAAGGCTTACCCTCGCACCAACAAACCCCTTCTGTGGGGTATGTTAGCCAGATTTGGCATGACGGACAAGGTGCTCGATCTGCTGAAAGGTCTCCATGAAGAAACGCGATACCGGGTGAAAGGAAAGGAAGGTCTCAGCGATGATTGGGCCCCAGCCAGAGGACTCAGAGAGGGGTGCGCAACATCACCTATCCTTTTCAACGTATATCATGCCGAAGCAATAAGAAGAGTGGAAAGAGAACGGAGAAAGGAGGCGGCGGAGAGAGGTCAAGAGTGCGGTCTCACCTGGAGGTGGACACCAGGAGGCAGCCTCCCACCGAGAGAAGGGCCCAGAGCATTGCATAGCAGCAACAAGTGTAATTTCATCCTGGAGGACTCGTTGTTCGTAGACGACACCTCTCTACTTGGTTGGACCGAAGAGCTCGTCATAGGGAAAGAGGTGATCAAGAAGAAAATGATGGAGTTTGAAGAGAAATGCCACGACGGCAAAGAAGAGTCCATCACTTTTGCAACTACCAGCGCCCAGAAGACTAGAATGCTGGGAACGCTCATCGGGAAACGAGAAGACCGAGGAGCCAGGATCAAGAGAGGGTACCACGCGTGGAGCAAGGTGAAACAATGGCTCTGGAATTCGAGCCTCTCCAAGCGCACCAGAGCATTGGTGGTCCAAGCCGTAGTGGAGTCCACTCTCCTGTCTGACTGTAGCGTTAGAGCATGGACACCGACCGACATCCAGAAGTTCCAGAGCGTTGCAGACAGAGCCTACAGGTTTGTGTGGAACAATGGAAAACCTCACACACTGATAAGGATGCAGAATGAAGGAGTCAACAGCTACGAGATCCGCAGACAGTTGAACATTGAATCGATAAGGACTAAGATCGAGTGCAGAGCATTAGAGCGAATGGGCCACGTTCTCAGAATGTCGGATGAGAGGATTGTGAAGAAAGCCGTGCTCGGATCCTGGGACATGGAGAGGACACGCAGTGGGAACTCGCGAGGCAACACCATCCAGTACTGGCGCAGACTGCTGAAAGAAGCGGGACATGAAGACGACAACAGCGAGAACCTCACCAATGACCGGAAACGATGGAAGAAGACCGTTACAGATCGCAGGACGTTCCTCAAAAACTGGGAGACGCAAATGTGCAACTGGCACAGAGGATCGGAAAAACCGGCCCGCTCACAATGGAATAGAGAGAGAATAAGTGACAGCGGTTGGCCTTGCCGCTGGGACGGATGCGACAAGATGTGCGCAACAAAAGGAGGACGGACGAATCACGAGAGAAAAGCACACAGAAGGGAGTCAGTGGACTACAAGTGTCCAAAGTGCAACGACAGTTTTTCGGACCAGGCTGCTCTGACAAACCACTTCAAGGCGTGCCAAGGAGGGCAGGGTGGGTTCTGTCCGAAGTGTCAGAGGTCCCTGTCGTTGAGCAACATGGCAAGACACCGGAGGACCTGTCGAGAACACCCGACAGCCCCAGAAGTAACCAACACCATTATCACAGGACGATTCGCCGGAACGAGAGCCAGAATCCAATGCGAAGAATGCGGTACTTGGGTGACAAAAAACAACGTTTCAAGACACTGGAGCACATGTCCTGGAAACTGGGAATCAAGGCCCCCCCACGGGGCGTAAATGACAAAAGAAGAAGAATAGATCCTTGAGGTACTCCGCTGGTGGTTCAATTTTGAGCAGTAGTTTATCATGTGGTGTCAAAGGGTTTTGCGAACTCGAGGTATAGCGCGCTGAGTTCTTTCATCGATTCGATTTTGTCCACTAGATTGGAAGTTGAGATGATTGGTCCCGTTATTTTCTAAAAAAAAAAAGAGCCAGCACGGGATTTGAACCTACGACCTTGGGGTTGTAACTGGATTCGTAGCCGCTAGGCTCGTTTCGACAGCAATATAGAAATCAAATCGCTCGCTGTTAGAATTAGCCACATACTGTGCATCGGTTTTTATTAGGGACCTTATCATTTTTGAGGGACCAAAGTAAACTAACTAGTACCTCCACGTATTCGAAAAATTCACTCCCATAAAATCTTGATACGAATGGTGAAAACTGGTTTTATTGGACCCGGCATAATCTAAGTGCTGCAAATCAGAATTTAGACCTTCAAAGAGAGAGAGCGAGGGAGTAGATATGGTAAAATTTGAAGTAATTAGTGTCCAAAATAGTCCATGAAGTTGGGCATATTAGAGTAAACACATGAATTTACGTTGAGTTTTGTTCACTAGTGTAATGGGAAACATTTCTGTTACACAGTGCACAAGAATAAAGAAGGCTGCTCGTATCAGGGCAAAGCCCTCAATGTTCCGACTGTCTCTTAGCTGGTCTCAAATAATTTTGTTAATTGAAATATTGGCATAATAAGAATGTTCGGCTGATAATAACAAATTTTAAGAATATGGAATTGGAGTCGTGTATGGAATTATTCGCCTTGCGTAAATTTTTCGCGTTACACTCAGCATCGGAGTATACGCGCGAGAAAGCAGCGCAAGAAGTTAATTTAAAATAAACTTATTTAAACAATTAGTTAGAGTTTTTTTAACATGATTGCTTATCATTTATGATTGACCGAGACAATTAAACATCCCATTTGAAAAAGTGTTCTGAAAAAAAGCGTTTTCAAACCCAAAACGCTTTTCTTATGAAAAACTAACTTTTGATTTGACGCTAAGATTGACCTCTGTTTTCTGTGATGCTGCAATCAAAACAGACGCTGACTCTCAGAAAACCAAAATACGAATGTTATTTCGTAGTCGCACTGGTAGAATCTGGTTAGAAAGGTGCTAGGGGTTTTAGCAGACCGATCTTTTAGCACATTAACAATTAGCAATTCAGAACCCTAGCTTCAAATGCGGCATGGGCGATTAGCGGACGCTTGCTCCACTGTGCTTCCAATCACCACGAATTTTTTGTGCGTGTAGACATTGTTTTGCCGCTAATTTATACTGCGATGTTTTTGAAGCACAATAGTCAAACCCAATCTTGCATCTCTTTATTACGGAGACCGATCGTTTAGCAGACCAATCTTGTCGAATAAAAAGTAAAGGTAGAGTCTTTTTGCAGACCAATGGAATAAAGTGAAGCATAGTTGATCGAAAGACTAATGGACACTCAGTATTGGGTCATGCTTCCCCAATTAAGGAAATTATCTCACGGTTTGTGAATGCAACTCAATTTGAGAAACCCAATAGTCTTTATTAGCGCCACGAAAGATTTACGGGGAAAGTAAACAATCGGAGCAAGCGGCCGCAAAGCGCCAATGACTCTTCTGAAATAAACGTTCTGGCTCGCTAATTGTTCTCAAAAAAAAAACCGGTCTGCTATAATCCCTAGCACCCTTTATTACGCTTTGGTCTGCTAAAATACTTATTTTTCTTTTTTATGCTAAAAGATAAGGCTGCTAAACAATCGATCCCCTGTTAGAAAGTTCCACGATTCTCTCATCTGAAGTAAGTTTTCAATGGCTTTCAGCCTTCAAAATAAAGAGGTGCCCTTCATCGAGACTTGAGAATTTTGGTTCTCCTAGTTTTTTTCAACCTTTCACTTTTCTCGAGTTGCTTTTTTGTATGATTGTGTTGTGTCGCAAGTGGTGCGAACCTCCGCTTCGCTTCTGTCTCAAATTTGTTCAGTTTCATATATGATTTTTTTGCGGTTGACTTCCGGTTTTTTTTGTTTATTTCTTTGATGAAAAGAAGGCAAATTCCACTATCGAACATTGAAGTGTAAAAGTTTCAAAAAACGTGATCGACTTATGCTTTCAAAAGTGGATTTTAGTTTTCAGATTTCCCAGAGGAATACAATAATTTACTTATGGAACCAGTGTTCTCCATTTGGGTTAATTTTATTTCAAAAATGTCGCTCATAAATTGTTGAAATTCGAAGAGCCTTACCGTGTAAATTTTGTTTAATCGAAAATGAAGTTTTGTTCAAGAACCAAGTCATCTTTTCTTGACGTCTGTTTATGACTTCTCCATTTGTCTGTTGACTATGTTTCCAAATTTTTGTTTCAGATATGACTGTTAATGAAATGGAGTTTTGCGAAGAAATTTCGCAGGACAAAACCTCCGATAGCGAGTTAGACCTGTTTGAGGAAGAATCGAGCCTTATCGATGAAATTTTATCCTTGCCAATCAAAAAGTTAGGCAATCTTAGCGGAATAACAACTTCTAGGAAAGGAACTGAACTGGCAGCAAATACTACATTTATATCGAAACCAGTTGTACAGCTTGTTTCGAATATCTTTAAAAGCCCTGTATCAGAAGAAACCTTGCGAAACAATCTTAACTTGTCGGCACCCAAAATACCTTTTTTGAATATTAGACCAGCAGATCCTTGGTTGAAAAGCTTAAATCCAAATTTAGTAACAGAATGTCTTGACTCTGAATTATTTACTCATAAGCATGTTTCTAATTTCTTGCGTGTCGCCTTTCCGTTAGTTGGTTTATTGGATACTATGTCAAAAGGGAGGCTGACTCAGTCGCGCGTAGAAACTGCCATCACGGACTCCTTACTTCTCTTGTCCTCGGCAATCGAAAACGTAAATGGTTGGCGTCGCGAGAACCTTATGCGCATGTATAATTTGAATCATTTAAAAAAGCCTGATGTTAGCCCCGCAGATAACCCCCACTTATTCTCAACTAACTTTGAGAAATGTGCTAAATTTCCATCAGTTGATGAACTTTACGCAGACAATGACCCTCTACCCGATTTGGAAATAAAACCAGTATCTAAGTTTTCAAATGAAATTATCGCGGGGGATTCTATTTTGGACGATGTTAGTTCTAAGGTGCATAAACTAGTCTCCGAAGACACTAACAGACAGAACGGGACTAAAAACGCTTTCACAGTTAGTACAAGACTACAATTGCGATTTTTGAAGAAAAGCATGAAAAAATTTTAATCCTAAAGATATTTTTTTGTTGCAGCAAACAAGTGACTATAGTAAGGCAACAACATCGGTAGGTTCTGAGATCAAAACATGTAAGTGTTCAGTGATTGACTCTCCCGACTCCGCTCCCGTCGCTCCAGTGAAAGAGTTCGCCGACAGCAGGTTTTTGAGAATATCGATCATTACTTTTTCCCCCCCTCTAGTCCAGAAAAAAAAATGAGAATGCATTAAATTATCTAAGTTGACAACTTTTTTTTAAAACAAATTAATCAATTGTATTTAAATTAGTATCATTTTAGTGTGAAAACTGCTGAAGCGAGCTATTGGTGAGTTGTATTTGCATAGCATAAAAGAGATAAATTGTTTCAATTTTCGAAGAGCTATTTGTTTCAGCGTCGATAAATCTAGCGATGTTTCAACTAAATCGCAGAAGTAAGTATTTTGAAATCAGACCATTCGATTTTTTTTTTATATATATGAAGTCGAAGATCAATTGGAATGTTTCAGGTCTTTAATTCACCTGAGCCCAGGAGCGGCAAAAGAGAACACAGGCAGTGTGGGAAAAGCGGAGTCGGAAGGGATTTCGGGTTCTGATTTGCTTATTTCGGAATTAACAACCAGTCGCCCCGTTTCACCGCGTTCGCGTAATCGAAAAAGTACCGGGAACCTCAAAAAACAAGATAATTTAGAAAAAGATTTTTCTTCAGTTTTTGACGTTAAAGAAAGTGCTCAAAATGTATGCGATGATTCGGTTGATGGGAGCATCAGTAGTGGTATAACTATTGAGGAGGACGAGGACTGCGGAGATAATAGTTCTGAAAATAATGGTAAAAGTAGTGAAATGGATTCTGATTTAGCGCTAACGGAGGTTTCGGACGATAAAAAGTCGTTACCAGAAGTAGCGAAAGTGGGTGTTGCTAGCTCATCGAAAAGAAAGTTTGTACCTATCACCGGACCACCTAAAGCAACTAGCACCAGCATAGCAAACTCTAAAACTGACAGTCAAAAAATGAATTTAGGAAATTTGAACAAGGCTCCTTTTCCTGGAGTCACCAGCAATCCCCCTTTTGGCACCAACAAAACTTCAACTTTTTCTAGTAACTCAAATAAAACCAGCAATACAACATCGGGTACTGCCACGAATCACAATGTTAAACGTATAATATCTGCGGCACCCTTAAAACAAGTTGCAGTCAGCAACAGAAATGCTAATGCATTTCATAATGCTGCAACTATAGCTGGTGTAGGTAGTCTACAGCAGCCCAATTTTCAACCACCCTTGGGAAACAGTAGACTCGTGAGGGCTCCAGTGGATGCTAGGTCACCGATCAGCCAAATGCACAACATTCCAGCGAAGAGGTGAGATTATAATAAAGCATGCTAGAATCTGCGTCATGGTACCCTGAATAACTAGGAAACCTATACTGAATTGGAATTCGTTGAAGAGGCTTGCGTTTCTCAATTTGAAAATGTAGCTTCAGTTAATCAATTTTTATTGGTTGGGTAAAAATAATGAGGTTTCAGATGCGTGAGTATCAGTTTCTTGAGGATCTCAGTGGCGATAAAATTAGCCATATTGGTTACTTTTTGACCCTTCTGCAGCTATATGCAGGTTTTTCCTAAAAATCAATTTTCAGCTTTCCCCTTCTGCAAATAAGTAGGCACCCAATGTGTTCCTGAGATGAGTTTGAAAATACTGTAGACATGGAGCCTTGAAAGTTCGGATACTAGGAGTAAATATGAAATTTTGTATGGTGCTCGGTAAAAAATAGAATTCGTTTTCATATTTCGTTTTTAAGGCAGAGGAGTGAACCCTATTGGAGTGCGATGGATTTCAGCTCTCCTCAACAGACTGGCGTGCTAGGAGTGACACTTCCCCACCAGCAGATGAGCAGAGACGCAAATTTTCCCAGAACTAACAAGTGGAGATAGAACTCTTTTCCTATAAACGTAATGAAGCTATTTGTACTTCTTAGTTTCGTATAGTATTCGATTTGATAAATTAGAATTTTTCTGATTTAGTCTCCAGATTTAAAAATAAGGTTGAGAATTAAAGCAGTTCTAAACAAGAGATGACGTCCTAGTAAAGCCTCTAATTAACAGTCACTGAAATTTGTTCTAGCCCAATTTTATTTTAGCGGTTCGACTGATTTCTGTATATTATTTTTCAGTTTTCCCAGTGTATAAAAAGTTACCTATTGATCCAGTTTTCTCGAATTCAGTTAATTTTATCAAACAATAACACGTAAATTGTTATAGCAATTGAGAGCTTGAAGTATATCTATTTTCCTTGAAATTCGGAAGTTCCGAGTTTTTCAAAAAAAAACAGGTCAGTATTTTTTTTGTTGCGTTCATTGACTCGTTACAACTGTCTGTTGGCTATATTTGATTCTACGAGTAAAAACTTTTCCTTCATGACTGGTACAACTTAGCTCAACGTTTCTGCTCAATTTCATTATCAAATTAATATCATGTTCATTAGAGCCTGGTATTTACCCTAGGATGCTGCTTGATCTCCCTACAAGGCAGCAAGGAAAAGTCAAGAACAAGAATGCTTCATATAAAATGCCGTAATGCCTGATTCGTTATACTTCAAGGCTTTTTTATTGAGTCGGTGAGCGTAGTTCAGACTTACATAATCGTGATGCTTTTTTTGTTTTTTCGAGAAATTTTCTTCGAGAAATCTGTTTTGAAACAATAATTTTGTCAATTCCGGCTCATTAGCATTAACCTTAATTAATGCAGACGAAACATTAACCGTTAGTAATTACAAAAATTCAAATCTAGCGAAACCAAAATTTTGTTTTAATGTTTGTTAATTACACTTAACAGAGCAAGTTTTATGCAAACGTGAACTAGACTTTTTCCCGTTTCCTTTTTTTTTTAAATTGTAGGACTTAACCTTGCTTTATTTTGAAACATAGTATGTTTTTACCGATGATTATTGGCTTCCTGGTTTTTGACTGAAATTCTGTCGATTCCCTTCTCGAATGTTATATTTGGTTTATTTGAGTGCCAGCAGAAAACTTTAGGCTAGAATTTTTGAAGCTATGGAGATCTGATTTTTGACAAAGTTTTTGGCGACATGGGCTGTAATTGTTTTCAACGGATTATGTATTTTTGAATAATTGATTGTGTCTACCAAAATTAAGGTTCTAAAAGATTAAAATCATTTATAATGGTGAATTTTTCCAAGATATTATAACCTCTTATAATCCGTTTGAATTGATTTTATTACATGCAGAAAACTCGTGAGGGCAATTGTAATTCGTTGTAAACAATTATAGTTTCTTATTCTGCCAAAATTTTAACCATGTCTTAATGTTTTTTATTTTGCTGTGAATAAATAAATCTCTGAAAACGAGATGTCTTGTCACACTTTGGTTCATCTGTTCACATTTACTTTTTGAGGTGTGACTCAAATTTACTTTTCGAGGTGTGACTTCTGATTTAGTTTTAAGTAGAGTTCATTTCCTCTATTCAAAAAAGATGAACGCAACTATCGAACAGTTAAGATCACACATAAGCCTAATCGATTTCTAGTTCATCACACAAGCGGACTTTATCAAAAAAGTGGAAACACATTGTTCTAGAACATCAAAAAACTCTTAGAGGCATCTATTTTTTTTCGAAAGTTGAGATTTAAACAAAAAACAGACTGCAATTTTTTTCTGTTTACTTGTGCTTTATGACTCGTTTCCAACTGCCTGTTGGCTATGTTTTCATATGTGCAATGTTTTAAGTGTTGCTTGTACAATTATTGTAAAGATGACGCAGCAATTGAAATTTTAACGTAGTGAAGACTCCTATATGGGTCTTGTTGATTTTTATTTGTTTTTTTTCTTAAAATGCTCTAATAACTACAGATGTGCAGTCATACATATTATAGCGGTTAGGTATATATGCAGTTTTTAAGTTCAGTTGAACTCTATCTGCTGAAAATTACGTTGATAGCATTCTCCAAATACGCACTTGGAAATGTCGGTTTATTATTTGACTTGGAATTTTTCTCAAATTGGGTTAATATTAACAAGTTGGGTTAATGTTATCAAAAAATTAATTGTTCTAGTAACTCTTGAAGGGCATCTATTTTTTTCTTTAACTTCGATAGTTAAGATTCTTTCAATAGAATCAGTGTTTTTTTTAGGTTTACGTGCCTTCATTGCTCTTCCACTTGTCTGTTGGCTGTTTTTTTGTGTTCGGTTAGCAGACGTAATCAATTGGGAAAATAGAGTTTGTTTTCGGGTTACCAACTAGTTTGACAAAATCACTGACATTTTTGTGAAGCCTGAAATGCTGCAGCAAACATGCCTAGTATCTTGAAAACTCTATTCAACTACTGATTACGACAACTAATTGACGACTTACGGCCTAAACTCGAATCCGGTTAGCGCCTGTTTTTTTTTAAAAGAGCAAAGTATTCAGCATCAACAAAACTTCGTCCTATCAATAATTTGTTTACGTTTTGTCGGCTTAGTTTCCACATAGCCTACATCATAATAAGGTAAGACACTTCTTTTGAAGTGTTTCTGATTCTCTAATTGCCTTTGCGATAAGCAAGGGTAATGAAAGCCGAGTACTAGAATTTTGCTCCTGTAAATAAGTTTTTTCGCAGTATGGTCAATATCAGAAATGGTAAGCTAATAAATTCAATTTTTTTGCGCCTTCAGCCACTTGGTCTAGATGTAACGATAACGTCTGAAACGGCCAAGGTGCTAAGTTTGAATCTGACAGGATTTGTTTTCTTTGCAAACAAGAAATATTACGTTTTCCAAAAAGTTTTCGGTTTATTATTTGTCTAATTGTTTTCGTCTTCATAATTGTCACTCGTATGATTGTGTTCTTAAGAGTTTTTGACGACGCGCTGTAGAAAAAGAGTGATGTATGATGACAAAGTCCATCAGCGATGATTAAATTGGTATTAAATTACACTATCAACTGCAAGTGTATTGCAACCGGGTGCTTGACTTTTAACCGTAATTAAGAGTAATGAACGTAGTGAAATAAATGCTTTCCGTAGTTTGAACGTAGTTTTTTTTTAATGTTCACTTGCGTTCATAACTCTTTTACAATCTTTGATTGGCTATGTTTCTGTAAGCCATAAACAATGGCTTACATAAACAATGTTTCTGTAAGCCATAAACAATTCTGTTTATCCATAAGCAAAGCCATAAAAAAGGGAATAGAGCATCCGGTCTCCAAGCTATGTAATAAGACAGAGAATAAAATTCCTGTGTATTAAGAAAGCGGATAGGTTTCCTAATGTATTAAAATGATTCAGTGTGATGGTAAGTTTCAGAAAACTTTTGGCGCCCAATTTTACCATCTTTTAGGATAGTGTTAAGATTTCCCTATGTATAAGGATTAGAAACACATTGTAGGGAATTAAGAACTCATTAAGATAGGGAATAAGTTTTCCCAATTTGTTAAGAGAGGGAATGGTAAGGTTTCAGTGTGATGGTAAAAGAATGGTAAGAAAAACTCTGTTTTTTTTGAATCTGTGTGAAAATGTCTAGTTTTTTCGCAAAAATTTTGGCACGCGTTATGTAATTGGTAAGCAAAACGTGTAATATGTTTTTCGGTTCATGGTAAGTTGATGGTTAGATGTGCAAAAATTCGGATTTTTCTCAAAAAAAATGGAGTTTTTCTTTCAAAAAACTTGAAAACACGATAAGATATGATATAATTTGACCTAATAACGGTTTAATTAGATGATCACACTTTTCAAAACAGTACTCAATCTGGCTGAAAAATCTTTGAAATCTACTGAAATTTCGAAAAAAAAGTCACGTTTTTGAAAAAAGAATTCGAAAATTTCAAGTTTTTGGAAAAAACTGCAAAGATTTCGAAGTTTTTGAAAAATTCAGATTTTTCGAAAGAATTGCAGAAATCTCAAGGATTTGAATAGTTTTTTGTTGCTTCTGATCTAACTGAGAAAAATATACAAACATGTAGACTTAAAAACGAAGCTCAAATCGTATTTTAATTGGCGTCATGTTGAGGCAGTGATACAAAACTTTGAATAAAAAGATGGATTTTTTTTACAATTTTCTCTCAAAAAAACGAAATACGATAAAGTTTACCTTAATTTGAGCTAAAGTGCGGTTTATATAACGCTATGAACATATAAAGCTCATACTAGAAGATTCAATATTGAAACTTCGGATTTCTCGGGAATTTAGTGTAATTAACCGTAAGGTTCGACACAGTAAAAATTAATCAAATCTATCCAAATTTTCCATTTTTAACCTTTCATTCGTGTATTTACTTGATTTTTTGTCCAATTCAAGGAGATTTCACCCAAAAGTCTCAATCCAAACGAACAATAAGAGCAATATTCATTGAAATTCCTAGATTAAAGTCCATGATCTAACTCCTCCTCAGTTTTCATATTAAAATCCATCGATATTAAAAATGGTTTCAAATCATTGATGAAAATTGAACATTTTACTGCTAAAATTGACTAAAAATGGGGCAAGTTTTTCTTGAAAAAATTTTAGATTATATGATATTCAACAAAATCTTCTTCAAAACTGATGATTATCTCTGTTGCTTCTACAATATTATTTTGATAATTTTCCGTATAAATTCTCTATGTTTCGAGGTTATCCTGCTTCTTTTGAGTTTTTGCTATTGAACTCACTTTGCAAGAAAATTTAGTCAGACTGGGGAATTTAGGAGAAAATAGTATCAATTGAACGAACAATTTGCTGGCAAAGATAATATTGAACTGATAACGTCTAAATATTACAAGTAATTTGTACATGTTCGCCTTTAGGTTACCTTGTCCAGCTGCTACAGTAAACTATTCAAGCAAAAGTACAACTTGTGGAATCATTAACTATCACTTTTCTTGCAAAATATTTATTAAATCGCTTTTTTTTCTTGATTTTTGTCGGAAGTTCTCTCAAAATTGACTAAGTGAGAAAGAATTGGTGATTTTTAAAGCATTCGAAAGCACATGTATAAACTCAGAACATAAAAGTGTATTTTACGTTGATTTCCTAGAATAAACTGTTTA